AACTTCATTAAATTTTACGAAGAAGACAAGGTTTCAACTCTAGGAATGGTTCGTAAGTTATGGAATTATCCCGATTATGACTATAAATCATTGGACACACTACATAATATTTTGCTAGATTATGGCTTAAAGTAAAGAAAATAATAAAAAAAGGATCGTAATGGATTCATCTCGCATCGTTGCATGGCGGCAGCGGTATTTAAGAAAAATTTGGAAATGCCGCAAATCAATACCAGAGATAGTGTACCAACACACATGATATGGTTAAATATGAATGGGAAGATGACGTAATGAGTGCTCTCTAGATGGACTTTATTTTCGCGGTAAATGGGTTATCATTCTACACGCAGGCAGTAATAAGGTCAGATAAAGATATAAAACAATCATCTGCTGACTACCATGAAGATATGACCACCAGTATTTTTGAAAAGACTTATAATGATGAATGACATTTATTATTATTACTTTCTTCAAGTGAATGAAATTGTGCTTAAAGAAATTGATAAAATTTAAGAGCCTTTTCATAGTGTCACTGAACAAATAAGTGAACAAAGCCATACTAATTTCACTAGTTCGGACTTCCATTGTCTACTATATAAAATGATTTGAAATCCCTGAAACAAGTAAAAAGGAGTAATTAAAAAAGAATAGTTGAAAGGTTCACCAGAAACGTCTAATGTGCCATCCACCGTGAATCAGCCTGTACAGTCACCATCCTTCATTACGCCAGAGATTCTGCTGGTTCCCTTTCTATTACGTATAAAATTCCAAAACTGATTCGGATCTTTACTTATATTATTTTCAGCCTCTGAGATAAATTTACTATAGTCTTTGTGTACAGATTTTTGACCTCAGATCTGAAATAATTAAATTGAGATAGATGAAAACTTGTTTTATGTAGTTTTTACTAGCACATTCTTTGCATTCTTCTCTTTGCACATTATTTTCAAATGATGTATTACTCGACCCCCTCATGCCATTGAAAAATTAGGAGGGGTAGTTGCTGGCCGCAGGGGGGTGAAGTTTATGGTATGATCATATCAGAATTAGTCCCATTAGAAATTAAAATTGACGTGTTCTTTAAAATTTTCGATCACATGTCCATTTCTGAGTTACAGTGTGAGACGCCCTTTATATAAAAACTGAGCTTTATACTATAACAAATTTGAGACGCAATTTCACTCACCTTTACTGCCTGTTACCTGCCGAAACCACCGCCACCCAAGCCCCATACTCAGGATTTTTTATATCTGTAATTTAGACATACATAGGAAAATGTCCAGCTTTTATGATTCAACAAAGACCTGGGGACCACGGACTCTTGCTCCGTTATCTCGGTGTGTCACTCTTACTTGAAACGGTGNCGGACTCTTGCTCCGTTATCTCGGTGTGTCACTCTTACTTGAAACGGTGCCAGTTTTTTTATGAGTTCCTGGGTTTTCGGTCCAGGAAGATCTGTTTTGATCACAGGACCTTTGGGTTCTGAATTTATTTGTGCCTGTTGGCATGGCTCAGTAGAAAAACCTGCAAAAATCAAACGTTATGATGATGGAAATAATTTTGAGTTTGGCATTTACCTGTCTGATGTACATTAGGCTTATTAGATTTCAGTAAGAAATTTGGAATCATTGCGAAGACACAGATAATTTAGCTCTCTTCATCAACATTGATTGGAGTCTGATCAGTGACAGTTCCTTACTTGATGTCTGTCAAAGATTTGTCTGAAGTTGTTGGGGAAGCCAACTATAAGATCGGTTTTCTATCCGAGTCGAATGAGAGAGACGATATGTTTTTTATTAATAATAATAATAATGTTTATTGGTGATCTCTAGTGTCCGACCAAAACTGGTTTTTACGACCGCAACCGAAAACGAATTTCGGAAACGGTCTCAGTTTCGCCCGAAACTGAAACCGAAACTTCCGGCTAAATTGTACTTTATGGGATACTCACGGATTTTCGCGATTTTTTCAGGGATGATACTACACGATGGTAGGAATTCAGAACACTTTTTATTTTTTGTCGGACTCAATTAGTTTTCGAGATATAGCCTATCAAAGTTTGTATGACGTCATATTTTATACCTTTTTTTTTTAAGCAATAAACGATTGCAATTCACATATTGTTTTATTTAACACAACTTTTTCCATATCATCGCACCTTTTTCTATCCCTTTTCAATCACTTATTGCCGAGTTTCCTGAAATTATAATAAAATTCCATAATTTGTCAGGTGCAAACATCGACATAACCTTATAGGTTATATCGGTGGGTGAGTGCACACAAATCACTTTTTATAAATTGCATTAAGTTTCACTATTCGAAATTACGTTCCTTTTAGAATTCGGAGGTCAGGTTAAGGATACATAGTTTTTTTGAATTCTAAAGTAAGGTTGGACTGAGTTAGGTTAGGTTAGGTTAAGTTAGCATGTGACAAATTATGGAATTTCAATCTAATTTCAAGAAACTTGGCAATANTGTCCACATAACGAAAATTTACCACGGTCAAATATTTGATCGTTCGATTTATTTAAGATGTTGTGAAACTTCCGAAACTCAATCAACATTATTCAGTACATAATATTCTCAAGATAAACATCATTTGAAAATTATAAATGACAGAGATTATTTTATATACTCGAAAGGGGTTGACGAGAGTTCTCTTTTAAAGGAGGAATCCAACAGAGACTTCAAGACCCTCGTCAAAAATACTGGAAAAAAATTTGAGACTGAAAACAGTTCGAGGCAAAATCATCAATCTATTTTTGTCACTCACCTGGAATGGGAGAATACTCAGCTGGTCGTGGTTTAGCTACTAAAGCTGCTAACATTTTGTATGAGAAACACACTTGAACTTTTCACTAGAAATTTTTACCGGTTCAAAAAAATTACCGAATACTTTCACTGACAGCAAGTGACAGACGTGAAGTGACAGCAAATTTATCAAATGTTCTCACGGAAAGTAGCATTACTCCCAGTTACTTACATGTGTATACGCTGTGTGTTAAAAAATAAGGTGAATTATAATTTTTCTCAAAAAATATTTATAATACAAATTTTTATTGATGAAATATCATTTTTCAATACTTATTTTTCTATTCCCAAAGAAGACCAAACCAAAAAGACAAAAAAAAACATGAAAATTGGTCCAGTTGTTCTACAGTTCTTTTATTATTATTATTCTTTTCAATGATGAAATGTCATATTTCAATACTTATTATGCTATTTCCGAAAAAGACAAATCCGAATACACAAAAATCATAAAAATTGGTCCAGGCGTTCTTGAGTTTTTTATTATTATTATCAATGAAATATTATATTTCAATACTTATTCTATTCCTATATGAAATATTTTTAGTTTAAATTCGAAATTTATAGAATGAAGTCGAAATAAAGTCGAAATTTCGAATTTATAAACAAATCACTGGAGTAATCGACGAATTTACGAGCGGTCACCGATGTATCAATCGACGGTTGATTTATAAAACTTGCTTCGAAATTCAGACAAAATTTTATTGACAACAGATGCGATAGCAATTTGTATTTCAGTTCTCATTATGAACGGAACTTCAAATGTTTTCGTTATCAATGCTATCTGCAGAAACTTTCAAAGTCGGAATTTCCAAGAAACAATAAATGAAAATATGTGACGAATCTGCACGTCCGTACTAGCTGTGTTTTGTTGGCATCAATCATATTCCAAATTTATAATTTCCGCTCTCTCTGTTAGATCTAAATACATCAAGCATAGATAACGAATAACTTTTGAAGGAAATTACTTAATCTGAGTGCCAACAAAACACAACTTCTCCTCGATGTATTTTGATTGTGCAGGAAGTGACAGATCTGGAATAAAACACACCTATGGCAGTGTGTACTGAATTTGGAACTTTTTTTTCTTCTATTTGACTTTGACATTGACACTGATTTATTATTCAAAATAATTTTCAACAATTCACATAAAATATGTATATGAATAGTAAAACATATATATAGAAAACAACATATTTAAGATTATCCATCCAGGGGTGCTTCTTACCCGAGACAGCAATTTTGGCTGTGCTACCACAAATAAACAAGAAAAGAAGAAGTAGAATGACATTAATTCTTTTCAAAAAGTATTGACGAAATTGAATAAAAAATCAAAATAAAGAATTGTAGAAAACAAACCCTCTTTGTTCAAAGATAATGGCTACTGATAATTGTGAAATGATTATTAAGAAAGAGCTTGAATCTGTTGGGGATGAAATGGTTTTTGAAACAAATATCATGAAATGTGAAACAAGTGAAACTGAAATGGTCCCTGAATCTGGACAATATCTGTTTGGTATTGAATTGGTTACTCATAACCTCGAAGAAAAATATGAAATAGATCAGATTAAAACTGAAAGTGTCATTGATGTTTACCATGAACCCAAATCAGAAATAGAAATAAGTGAAGGCCCTCATAATAAGGTCCTTGATGAACAGGATGAAGATATGACTCATGATTCAAAACACACCACAGGTACTGAAGTTTGATGAAGGTTTTTTGCATTCAATAATTTTCCAATCATGTTCGATTGCTGACCTATTTATTTTGTAGAAATTCATGTTGGATATAGGTACTGAGAATATAGAAGTAGTAGAATATAGCAAACTGAGTTTACTTGAGAATCGTTTAACAAACTGATACCAGTTGTAACAAATTAAAAACTCAGTAGAAATTAGACAGGTGATTTCAATTTTTTTGCTGAGTTTTTGTTACAATGATATCCATAATGGAAAGAACATTCCTGTAACTTTCATGCTTTTTGATTCCTCTATATAAAAATCGTTGATTGAATGTATGTGGCCTGCAAAATTGAACATTCACCGTATTTTTTGAATAGACATCGTATTTTCTCTGTTATTTATATTTCGTGTATTGAAAAATAGTAGAATATCTACAAAGGTATTGTTGTTTCCTTGATAATTATCAAGCTCGAAAACACCCAATAAACCCTATTTTTAGTGGGATTAAACTTTTATTGACTTTTCTTTTTGACAAATTATCAGTAACTATCCGAAACTTTTTGTTTTGTTATATACAGGGTCATATTTTCAATGAATAAAAGCAAACTAATAAAAAGATGTACAAATCAATATAACAGGTATCTTCCTCTGATTTGCATTCCTGTGAGAAGGGAACAATTGTTGATCCATCTCGGTGAGCCCAGCTCTGAAATTGATGTATATGGTACATCCAGTTGTATATAAAAGGTTCTAACTTAGTTGAAGATTCAGTTTCGATGTTCAGTTTAAAGACACATTACAGAACATTCAATAACTTGGTTTCACGAACTTTTTAGTGGTTGTAAACTATTTGGATAGTAGAACCCCAAAAGGTTACTCCTTTTGGGGGGTTGAATCAACAGTAAATAAGTGAAAAATTAATATTCTTTTCAAGCAAACAATTTTGTATAAAATATATATTTCATTAGTAATTTTTTCACAGATTCTGGGAACGTTTTTGTTGAAACAGAGGATGGAACAGTCAGCGAGAAGAAGGAAGAGAGCTTCAATGAAAAGAAGTTTGGCATTGCAAACGATCATATTGTGAAACCGTATCAGTGCAAAATCTGCTCGAAATCATTCAGTTGGTTAAGTCATTTGAAAATACATGAAAAAACTCATACAGGGGAAAAATCATTCCAATGTAAAATATGTCTAAAGTCATTTGGTAGAAAAGGTAATTTGAAAACCCACCAAAAAATTCATACTGGTGAAAAACCATTTCAGTGCAAAATCTGCCCGAAGTCATTTACTCAAAATGATTCTTTGAAAAGACATGAGATAACTCATACTGGCATTAAATCATTTCAGTGTAAAATCTGCTTGAAGTCATTCACTTACAGTGATAGTTTGAAAACACATGAAAAAACTCATACTGGAATTAAATCATTTCAGTGTAAAATCTGCTCAAAGTCATTTTTTCAAAGCGGTCAGTTGAAATCGCACGAAAGAACCCATACTGGTGAAAAGCCGTTTCAGTGTAACATCTGCTTGAAGTCTTTTATTCATAGTAATAGTTTGAAACTCCACAAAAGAACACATACTGAGAAAAAACCATTTCAGTGTAAAATCTGTCTGAAATCATTTACCCAAACTAGTCACTTGAAAAAACATGAGACAATCCATACTGGAAAAAAAGCATTCCACTGTAAAATCTGCTCAAAATCATTTTTTCAGAATGCTAATTTGAAAGCGCATGAAAGAAGCCATACTGGTGAAAAGCCATTTCAATGTAAAATCTGCTTGAAGTCTTTTATTTATAGAAGTAGTTTGAAACCCCACGAAAGAAGTCATACTGAGAAAAAACCATTTCAGTGTAAAATCTGTCTGAAATCATTTACCCAAACTAGTCACTTGAAAAAACATGAGACAATCCATACTGGAAAAAAAGCATTCCACTGTAAAATCTGCTCAAAATCATTTTTTCAGAATGCTAATTTGAAAGCGCATGAAAGAAGCCATACTGGTGAAAAGCCATTTCAATGTAAAATCTGCTTGAAGTCTTTTATTTATAGAAGTAGTTTGAAACCCCACGAAAGAAGTCATACTGAGAAAAAATTATTTCAGTGTAAAATTTGCCTGAAATCATTTACCCAAAATGGTAGTTTGAAAACGCATGAGAGAACTCATACTGGAAAAAAACCATTCCAGTGTAAAATCTGCTTGAAGTCATTTTTTTGTAATTTGAAATCACATGAAAGAACCCATACTGGTGAAAAGCCATTTGAGTGTAAAATTTGCTTGAAGGCATTTACTCGAAATAGAAATTTGAAAAAACATGAAAGAACTCATTCTGGAAAAAAATCCTTTCAGTGTGAAATCTGCTCACAGTCATTTTTTCAGAGTGCAAATTTGAAATCGCATGAAAGAACCCATACTAGTGCTTTTACATTCAGAACATACTGAAAAAACCATTTAAGTGTAAAAGAAGCTACTTAAAATCTTCAAAAACTCATGGAAATCAGCAAAAACGTTTAATTGTGCAAAGTTACTCCTTGATAATTTTTCTGGTTTATAAAATCTTGAATAAATTCATCATCTCAAATTATAATAATAAAAATGTCATTTTTTAATCCTCGGCAAAGTCCAGTAGTAATACCGCTCTGCTTAACTGAGTACCATTTACAGTTATTCAATAGTAAATACATTATTAACACTTACAAAATTAAACATAAGTAAATAATTATACTCAAATTACACACATTATGAAGGTACTAAACATTATACAGATTCAATTGAAAGCGTTATATTTTTAGAAGAGATTAATTTTAGGGCTATCTACTTCTCCATCTTTATACAAAACAAAATGTGGGAAAACACTTTTCTCTATTCACTTTGTATTCCAAACATTTGTTATGGAGTTGACTCAGATATCATTCACAGGATTGCTACACAATACCGTATATGAAAGAGGTAAAATTTCACTTACATGGAACACTGTCATCCTCAATAGCATACATTTGATGTTTCCGAATAAGTTACTTGCCTTATTGCCTCTTCAGCACCAATTTGGATAACTCTATGAGATTAAGTACTCAATTCATTCATAACATTAAGAACCCTATGTCACGAATCAGTTAAATCTACTCCGATGACAGAATGTAATGATATTCATTCGCTTATTTGAATCAATCCCAGCCATAGTAGTCTTGTTTAAATTGAAAGGGGTATAATTTTAGGACAGGTTACTTTTTTGGAAAGGAAGGATTTGACTTTCTATTTCAAAAAAATTAGGAAAGCAATCATTTTCAAAATAAACTCCACACAAGATGTGTATGTAGATCATGCTTTTTGACACAAATTGGAATTGAAAACTCTCTCGAAAAAACTGATAATTGTACATTTCATGCTTTGAATATTACTGGAATTTTTCCCAACACCAAATCGTTATTTTTAACACCTCGACACCTGTTTCGATCACCAAGTGATCATCTTCAAGAGGAAGATCAAACTAATCATACTCACAAAGCTATCCTTATTTATACCATAGATACATGTTTTAGGTACCTGAGTCTCGAGTGTCTTAAATTAATTTTACAATTTGCCTTTCTATTAATTTTACAATGTGTCCTTATGTAATAGTTAGTTGAATCTAATATTTAAATGTTATAGCTATATATAACTTTATCAATGACTTTTTCATAGACTCTTCTCACAATTTCAACAAACCCAATAATGGTGATAAAAAAATCAACAGATTCCACAAAAGTTTTTTTCTAACACCAGTGACACCCATAGAAGTAACATCCATTATAAATAAGACAACAGCTAAACAGTCTGCTGGCATAGATGACATAAATGGGAAAATTCTCAAATCTGTCTGTACTCTTGTAGCAGATATCATATCATATTTAATAAATGAATCTTTCACATCTGGAACATTTCCAGATGTTAAGGAATCAAAATGTATACCTGTATTTAAAAATAAGGGCTCTGCTTGTGACATACATAACTATAGGGCTATATGCATACAAAGTCAAATCGCTAAACTATTCGAAGCATCCTATTGTGATAGATTGACCAAGTACTTGGAATATTTTGAGCTCATCCCAGCAAATCAGAATGGTTTCCGTAAGCACAAATCAACCAGCTCGGCAATTTCTGATTGCCTAGAGTTTATCTACAGTGCAATGANTGCCGCGGAGAGAGTTTTTCACTGCAGTTACCTCTTGTGAGTGGCGTTGTTCCACCCCGAGGTAAGTATACGTCTCTTCGGCATCCAGATGGTGTAGGATGCTTCCATCTACGAGCTGCACATCCTCTCTGTAGTCCCCGCATCGTCCTCTTTTGAGATGAACCATTGCACATTTGTCTATCCTGAATTTCATACCGATAGCATGCGTGTACTCTTCCACCACCCTCAAGGACTGATAGAGATCCTTCTCTCCAGAGGCATAAAGTTTAAGATCATCCATATGAAACAGATGGGTGACCTTATTATAATTATTATTATTATTATATAGTTTCGACACCGGAGGGGGTTGAAAACTTGTAAGTTCCGTTTCAGTTGAGGGGTAAGTATGTTGTCACATTTCTTGAGGACGTCTTCGGCAATCATCTTCAGTAACGGGTTCCTGGACAATTTCTCATACGGTCCGTCAGTAATGAGAGTATTGACCCTTTCGTAGTAGTCCGATTTATCCACAATTACTACTTTGTTACCTTTGTCGGCTTTCAAATAAAAAACGTCTTTGTCTTTCAATCGTTTGGTAAGTTCCTTTTGGTTTTTATCGATGTTTATTGAATGCTTCTGTTTATCTACTATCATATTCCTGGATATTTGATTCCTGGCTCTTTCCCGAACTAGTCTCTTCGAGGAATCAGGCATTTATTGAATCGAACTTTCAACACTAGCAACGATATCCTCAAGAACTTTTTCGGGAGGCGGGATGCCAAAATTCAAACCGTTGTTCAAAAGGTTGATCTCTTCATTATCAAACGATTGTGATTAATGTTTTTCGACAATATTTATGACTTTCGGATTGGTTTCTTTTGGTTTATTCTCAGATTCAATAAATGCATCATTCCTCGAAGGGACTAGTTCGGGAAAAAGTGAGGAATCAAATCTCCAGGAATATGATAACAGAAAAACGGAAGCATTCAATAAAGAACAATAAAAACCAAAAGAAACTTATCAAACGATTGAGAGACAAGGGCGTTTTTTATTTGAAAGCTGACAAAAGTAACAAAGTTGTAATTCTGGATAAATCAGACTTCTACCAAAGGGTCAATTCTCTCATTACTAACAGAACGTATGCGCAATTGTCCAGGAACCCGTTACCAAAGATGATTCTCGAAGTAAAAGACGTCCTCAAGAAATGCGACAACATACTTACCCCTCAACTGAAACGAAACTTACAAATTTCCAACCCAACGATGTCGAAACTATATTGCCACTAAAAATCCACGAACCGGTAAATCAATGCGCCCCATCGTGTCAGCTATTGGAGCTTCTACCTACCAAATAGCAATGTGACTCACTAAGGAATTTGAAAGTTTGTCTATTATGGATTACGCATTGGTTATAACCAATGCGTAAAATTAATTAGTGAAATAAAAAAATTTGAAGTTTTCAGAACAAAATTCCGTGACTTTTTAGTTCATTACCGATTCTATCTGCAGAAATTATCAAAGTCGGAATTTCCAAGAAACAATAAATGAAAGTATGGTACCATTCTGCGTGTCCGTACTAGATTTGTTTTGTTGGCATCAATCATATTCCAATATTCCAAATCTATCATTTATGCCAAAAGTTATTCGATCTCTCTCTCTGTTAGATCTGGATACAACGAGCTTAGATAAGGAATAACTTCTGTATAGATAGGGTGTTCTGTGGTAAAACATACTTATGGCAGTCTGTACTGAATCACTTTCTTTCTTTTTCCCTTCGATTTGAGTTTGACATTGATACTGATTTATTATTCAAGATGATTATTAAACAATTTATATGAAATATGTATATGAATAACAAAACATGCAGGAAACAACGTTCATCTTTCCAAGGGTGCTTTTTAACAGAGACAGAATTTTTGGCTGTCGGCAACAAGTAAACAAGAAAAAAAGGAAGAAGTAGAATAACATTATTTCTCTTAAAAAAAGTGCTGATAAAGTTGAATCAAAATAAAGAATTCGTCGTTGAAAACAGTTCAGCTTTATTCAAATATAATGGCTATAAATGATTGTGGAATATTTAAGAGAGAGCTTGAATCTGTTGGGGATGAAGATGTTTTTGAAACAAATATTATGAAATGTGAAATAAGTGAAACTGAAATGGTCAGTGAATCTGAAAAATATGGTATGTTTGGTAGTGAAATGGTTACCCATAACTTCGAAGAAAAAGTTGATAAGGGTCAGATTAAAAGCGAACATGCCATTGATGTTTATCATGAACCCAAATCAGAAAAATGTATAGAAGAAATAAGTGAAGGCCCTCAAAGTAAGTTCCTTGATATTCAGGGTGAAGATATGGTTTGTGTGAAGTTATCAATGCTTTTTGANCAGTGTAAAATCTGTTCGATGATCGTTGATGAATTTTTTTACTGAAATATAGCACATTACTCATAGATAACAATTACAACTATGACTCTCTTAAGGTAGCCAAATGTCCCTTCATCTCATTAGTGACGTTTTGGCTATTATTGGCAGAGTCAGGTTACTCGCAAGGCCGGGAGGGGTGGCACAGTAATGCGGCGCTCTTAAAGCAGCTGGATCGCTTGCTATGCAAAAGCCTTCAACAGCAGGAAACAAGCTGAAACGGGGCCCGGCACGTAAATCTAGGGTAACCTAATCGAGTGAAAACCTCAACCGAAGGTGGCGAAGTGGGTAGCTCGACGGCCTCGCAACCTAGTTAAAATCTCACCGGCAAGTCAACTGGCACATCCACGTGGTACCGTCCGGGAAACTCTTTTCTGATTGGTCCCTTTCCAAATTCTGGAAAGGGACCAATGTTACTCTTAATCGTGGGACTGGGTCTCCGCACGTCTTTGAAGGTCCTGCTTGCATCTACACCCAGGTTCTCGTGAAAGGCGAAAGCCAAGTTCAAGGGCGAAGAGCCAGAGTGGTCAGAGATTGTACCTGACCGTTGGCAACCCTGGACAATTTCTAAAAGCCGTTCGGCTCGCACACAATCACAGGGGTAACTGATATTAAAGCATCTAGGGAGTTGTGGCGTCCCAGGTTTCAAAAAGAAATTCACACGGAAATATCCAAGAGGACAGATATCAGTGTGATTGAACAGTTGTATTCGATAGTCGGTAAGCCTTGTAATTTTTATCTATGAATAATGTGCTATATTCCAGTGGAAAATTCATCAACGATCGTCGACTATTAACGGAGATATAAGAAAAATATGCTAAAAAATGTCAGTTTTTAATTTTTACACTCTCCCTGACGGCCCTGTAAATTGATTTGATCTTGTACATGATATCTATGAGTAATATGATATATTCCATTGAAACATTCATCAACGATCATCCACTATTAACGGAGATATAACAGAAAAGATGGCAAAAATGTCAGTTTTCATTTTTTATACCCTCCCCGACGGCACTGCAAATTGATTTGATGTTGTAATTGTTATTTATGAATTATTTGCTATATTTCAGTGTAAAATTCATCAACGATCATCCACTATTAACGGAGATATAAAAAGTAAAGTCAAATTACAGTTTTTATTTTTCCACCCTCCCCGACTGTACTGCAAATTGATTTGATGTTGTAATTGTTATTTATGAATTATTTGCTATACTTCAGAAGAAAATTCATAAACGATGATGCACTATTAA